CACTAATTTAATTTATTTATTTCTATATGGTGCTAAGGATCGAACCCTGTGCCTCACCCATGCTAGGCAAGCGCTCCACCATGGACCACAACTGCAGCCCTAAGATCTCTTTTCTTTCACTTACTCCTTAAATGCCACGCTCCTCAGGGCTGTGTGAAACCCTTTGCTCCTCTGCCTCCTAACACTCACAGCCACCAGTGCTCCAGACACTACTTCATGATAACGACGAACAGAGATACTTCTCCAGCTCAGCCTCTCCCATGAGCTCCAGACCTCCATATCCAACTGCCTGCTGGACTCCTTCCCCTGGGTGCCCCTCAGGCTTCTCAACCCAGTGTGTTCTAAACTTATTTTCTTCTCATCTCCCCACCTCCACCAATATCTACTTCTCTTGCTGTTTCTGTTTAAGCCATACCTGGGAATCAGACCAAACCTCCATCCATCCATCCATCATCCATCCATCCATCCATCCATTCATTCTCCATTGCCTTACAAGGCCACTGCCTCAGTCCAGGCCCTCATCCTTTCTTGCCTAGGTCACCATATTTGCATTTTCAGAGGCTTCTCCACCTCCCATAATATTCTCCTCTAACCCACTCTCCACACTGCCTGCAAGGAACCTCCAGAGAGATTGTCCTAGAGTGGAAAGCTGATCTCTTTTTCTTGCTTAAAACTTTTCGCTGATTTAAACCAGGGGAAAATTTAGAATTGTTCATGGTACTATGCCATTTTACTGCCATCCCCATCATGGCCCCTGCCTCTCCTGCACCCAACCAAGTGTTCAAGCACAGTGAATTGCTCACTGTTCTAAAGGCCCAGACTCTTGCACACTGATCTCCTGGGTTGGGAATGTCTTCTTCTTGCCACCCACCTCTCAGTCACCTCATTCCTGTTTGTCCTTCCAAACTCTGCCCAAACATCACTTTCTCTTGAAAGCCTCCCCTGCATCTTCTCTCTTTCCTGGTCTGAATTTTTGCACATTATTTGCAAGTCATCCGAACACATTTATGTCTTGGAACATATTTGTCAGTCGAGTGGAGCTCAATCCATGGAATTGGAGGCTCCTTGAGGGCAGCAACAACTTCCAGTTCTCTTAAGGATGTTTTGGCACCTAACACAGTGCCTGCGCCAAAGGATTATTTTTTTCTTTCCCCCCCCCCCCTTTTTTTTTTGTGGGGGGCGTACAGGGGATTGAATCCATGGACATTAACCATTGAGCCACATCCCCAGCCTTTTTTTATATTTTAGTTAGAGACACGGTCTCGCTGAATTGCTTAGGATTTGCTAAATTGCTGAGGCTAACTTTGAACTTGCAATTCTCCTGCTTCAACCTCCCGAGCTCTGGGATTATAGGCATGCGCCATTGCGCCAGGCCACAAGCATCTTGATTGACTCTTGGACCCCAAGTTGCTCTATAGATATGCTGTGTGATCTTGGGTAAGCTATTTAACCTTCTTACATTTTAGTAGAGAAAATATGACCTTTATAAGGATTATGAAATAAAGGAGATAAAATGCTGTGTAGATCATATTTCACTGCTTTTCAAATGTGAAGGACATTATTTTTACCACTTTTATGGGCTGCTTCGATTTGCGTGCTTTAGTAAAAACAAGTGCTCTCGGTTTCCTGCATCTCTGGGATCCTCTCTGCCCCACCAAACGCCCTCTGTCTCTTTGCGGTTCTACCTCCCTGTTTCTTTCTCTTCTGCCCACAAATCCCTTCTCTCCCCGATCTAAAAGCAGGTCTTCCTCCTGCCCACTTCCCTGGGGAGCAGCGGCCTCCTCTCTTCTCCCTGTGGCTGCCAGAGCCCTTCCAAGAGTTGGCTGCCTCAGCTCTCACCACCCACCTCTGTGTTCATCCGCTCAGTCTGGACCCCGCCCTCGGCTCTGCGCAGCCTCATGGGGGCCTTATGAGGTCTCCCCCACTGCTGCTGGGTCCCAGGCGCTTCCCTTGGCTCCCTCACTGGACGCTGGGGCATCGCCTCCCCTGCTTGAAATGCCCCTGCTTGGCTGTCCGACCCTGAGCTGGCTGGGTTTTCCTTTTCCCTCCCCAGCAGTTACCCTCTCTTCCCATAACAGCTGGCGTTCCCAAGGCTCTGTCCCTGGCTCTCTAGTTTTTCCTCTCCCTACTTAGTGATCTCACCCACTCCCTTGGTTGCCACTAGAACCTCTTGGCACACGCCTCCCTGGCTGGTGCGGCTAGTACCCCACTCCCTCCGGAGCTGTGACCCCGTGTGTCCAGCTGCTGGCTGGACAGTTACTTTTGGTGGCCCTGTCCAAAGAGAAAAGCATCCTCTTACCGCCTTTCCCCACGCACCCACTTCTGCTCCTGTTTGTGTTGTTTCTATTAATGGCCCCATCATTCTCCAGTCATGGATTTGCCTAGTTCTTGTTCTCCTCCCCAGGCCAAGTCCTGTATCCGCTCATTGAAATTCCTGTGGCTCTCCACCTTGACTTCCCCCCTCCCTGCAGAAGGGCTTCCTGACCTCTCCCTAAACCACCTCCTCAGTTATTGCAGATTTTGGCTTTATTTATTCTCTCTCTCCCCCAGTGAACATTTATTGAGCACCTACTATGTACAAGGCACTGGGAAAATAAGAAACAAATGTGCTGCAGGCCCATGCCTAAGTTGTTGAGAGCCTACCCTGGCAATGACAGTGACTATGAATGCATAGGGGGGCCTTAGCAGGTCCCCTGGTCTTTCCCTCACTCCCAATCCATGTTATCTGCTGTGCCACATGAACATTTCTGAGGCCCAGTGACAATGTCACCAGGCCCCTTCCTTGACTCTCTGCTACTGTGTAAGTCCTCTGCGTGTTTGCACAGGCCCTCACATAATGCCCCAGCCAGCTTTTCCAGGGCCACCTCCAAGGCTCTCCTCTCTTCCTCTCCACCAAAGCCCATGCTCTGCTTGCTGTTCTCTGAAACCATTTTGCTCTTGCCCCTGGGACTTTCTTCTGATAATTCTCTCCCCACCACCACTGCCTGTCAGAGCCTAACCATGGATCCAGTTATATCAGTAGGTATAACTCTTTCCTCTGAAATTTTTCCCCCTGTCATTCCCTGATTCAATAAGCAAACTCTCTGCAGGAGACACAGAGACTCAACACCACCCCTAGCAGTGCACAGTTAGCAAATGAACCTCAAGAGCTGTCTTCACCAGCAGCAAGGCTCCCAGTCCCATAGAAAGGGTCAGACAGCTCAGAGCAGTCACGGGGCATCTAAGACTCATTGAAGAACACAGATGGGACCAAAGCTAGCCACCCTGTGTGAAGTTGTCACCAGTGTCTCTGTGAGCAGGAACTGTTGAATAGAACCCAGTGCAGGGACATAGGTCTGCTGGGCATGGCCAGGTACAGAAAACTGCTGAGTTCTGGAAAACATTCTCCCCTGCGCCCCCTCCAGTGAGCTCCTGATCCCCGGCCCACAGTGCTGCTGTTGCCTCCCATGATGTGCTATATTTACTTCTGCTGTGCCAGTTGGTATGTTGTCTTCCAGATCCACTTTCACAGCTTCCACATCCACGATTTAACCAACCACAGACAGAAAATATTAGAAAAAAAATTGTCTGTACTGACATATGCAAACTTTTGTTTCTTGTCATCATTCCTAACAACTTAATATGACAATTATTTCAGGGGGTGGGTGAACCCAGGGGCACTCTACCACTGAGCCACATCCCCAGCCCTATTTTGTATTTTATTTAGAGTCAGGTCTCACTGAGTTGCTAAGTGCCTCGCTTTTGCTGAGACTGGCTTTGAACTCACCATCCTCCTGCCTCAGCCTCCCAAGTCTCTGGGAGTACAGGCGTGCAACATTGTGCCCAGCTAATATGACAACTATTTACATAGCATTTGCATTGTATTCGGTATCATAAATCACCTAGAAATGACTTAAAGTATTTGGGAGGATATGCCTAAGTTATATTCAAATACTGCACCATCTTATTTAAGGGACTTTGGCATCCTCAGATTTTGGTATCTGTCAGGATTCTAGAACCAATTCTGCATCAAGGGACAATTATATTTTGTTTTTTTCTCCTCAACCTGACTCCCAAGTTCCTTAGGACAGAGACCACAAGCCCTGCAACCAGAGAGAGATTATCAGCATTTGTGGACTTGAATGCAGTGAGACTCCTTCTGGGATAGAGGGATACATGGCAGGAACCATGGCCCAGACTTGGTGCTGTCCAGGGTGACTCACAGGGTGGTTTACAACACATGACAGCCAACAATGTAACAAGTTCTTCCTGAGCAAGCTCAACTGGAAAGAACTGGCTAGATGAGGTCTTACAGCAGGTTTCCTTTCTGGATTGGTTGGTGTCACTCGGGGTAGGTTGGTGTTACACAGAATAATATGCAGAAGGGGGTAGTTCCACGTACCCAGGGACAGGGCCTGGCAATGTGGGGCTCCCAGATGGGCATTCCTGGACTTAGCAGACAATGACTATGCCCTCTCCACAGTGTGCTAAAAAGCTACAGCAAGTCAGGGAAATGCTTTATTCCCTTTGGAGGTGCTATAAATCTTGTAATGTTTCTATCTCAAAGAACAACAAGATATTTTCTTGGTAATCTTTCACCTAGAATCATAATTTTGAGAGATTTAAGAGCATCCTTATCTCTTAGAGATACATACTGAACTATTCACAGATGAAATGACACCATGCCTAACGTGTGTCATGATGACCCAATAAGGGAGAACTAGTAGAGGTGGAGAGGGGACAAGAACAGCCCTAAGTTGGTGATTTCTGTAACTTGGCTTCAGATACATGGCAATTCATGGTGCTAGCTGGTGGTACTTGTGTGTATGATTGAAATTTTCCATATTAAAAGTTTTGTTTTATTTTTTCAAGCACAGATTTTAGAGCAGGATTTGAATTCCCTCTCTTTTTTTTTTTTTTTTTTTATTCTGGGTGACCTTGTTATGTAACCAGTTTAAACTTTAATAATTCCTGGCTCACTACTTTGTTGCAGTGTATAAAGTCCTCAGGGCCAGGCCTGGAACATGGTTGCCAGTCAATAATGCGGCTGTAACTTTACCTAGCCTGATCATGCTGTTTATACCAACTCTTAGGATCAATCTGCTATCATGGTTACCAGTGAGTGGGTGACCGGCCTGCCGTCTTGACCAGGTACAGGGCCTGCCACACTTGGGTAGATGAAATAAAACAGAGGGTCAGATTACAAACTTAAGGCTCTTTACTAAAACCCTTGGAGGATTTTTGATGGGGAAATGGAGGTAAGAGGAGGGAAGGGGCAATGGTGGGATTTGGAGATGCCACTTGTCTGGGCTGTAACTGTTCCTGGGTTCAAGGTTCTGTTGTCATTGCAAGGCTTGTGCTTGAGGTGGGGAAGGCAGAGCAGGAAACTAGACCCCTGGAGTATAAGCAGATCCTGGAAATACCTCAATGGCAGATCCCTCCTGTTGTCTGTCCTGGCCACCCACCCCTTAGCAAGGAGCCCGCGTGGCCGAGGCTGTCCTAGGACACAGGGTTCTGTCTACCTGGGCATATTTTCAGGCTCCAGCTGGCAAGGCAGCCCTGCCAATTGTTGCAGAGGAGCAAGTGCTGGAAGAAGAGCGAGCGAGATCACAGGGAATTTATTAGCATCCCAGATTCATCTTCTTTTCCTTTCTAGGCCTTCTCTCTACCTCCCCCACACCCACCTCAGCAATTTTTTCCCCCCTTAGAGTAGCTGAGGGAATCTGTCAAAGCCAGGCCAGGAGCTTGCCTTTTCTGGTATCTTTTCTAAAGACACAGCATTTAGCTCTCACCAGATGGGAACCTGTCAGCTCAGCAGGCAGATAATTATCCTTTCAGCCGTGGGAGGCCTTAGCATGAATGGCAATTCAGGCATTTGCTGCAGCTGTGGCCCCAAAGCCACAGGATAGAAGCAGTGCACACAGAACAGGCAGGATTTACCTGGGCCAGTCTGCAGGAAGTGCTGGGAGGTGGAGGTGGGAGGAGTGGGGTGTGGGGCACATTAGGGGTCCCTTCCCCAGGAAGTTGTGCAGAACTTGCTGGACATGGGCCTGGAGGCTTTCCCTTGAGACCAGGGCAAGCCAGACCATCCTTTCACCCAGCACAGTGGGCCTTCCCCTCTGGGAGGATCTTGAACTCAAGAGTAGATCTTAGAATGGACAGATTTCTCCTCATTTGCTGGAAAAATCTAGTAAGCAGCTGGCCAACAGTGGAAACTGCTATTTTAAAAGATAACGAACTCCCCATTGATGGAGATATTCAAGCAGAACTGGCTGGCTGTCTTCCAGGGATATGGCAGAGCGAAGATCAGACATCAGGGAGAGTTTGCCTCCTCTGCCTTCCAAAGCCTCTTTACCTCTATGGTTCTTATGTGGGTAGAGCACTAACTCTAAGTGATCACAGGCCCAGGGTTCAAGTCCTGGTTCCACACTTAGCCAGCTAGATGACATTGGGCAAGTCACTTAATGTTTAACGACCGATCATTATTTGAAACTAGCAGTATTCAAAAGAAATGTTTTATATATAATTTAAAATTTTCTAGTAGTCATCTTTAAAAAGTAACAAATAAAATGAATTTTAATAATTTATCTAATCCAACACATTCAAAGCGTTGTCATTTCAACATGTAATCAAATATCAAAATTATAAATGAGACGTGATTATAATCTCAATCTCTCTCTCGCTCTGGCTCTCACTAAATTTTAAAAATCTGTTGTATGTCTTGTACTTCAGCACGTCCAGACCGATCACCTTTCAGGAGCTCCACAGTCACATGTAGCTAGTGACTGTCATACTGACCAGGGCAGCTCTAAATCCTCCATCCTAGCTCTGCTTTGTGATTCTGCTTTGTCACTGTAACTCTGAGAGTTTAGTCTGCTCACCAATTTAGGCCACAAATATGCATTAAATTTTACTGTCCTCTGTTTCATCTTGCTAATTCTACTGTAAGCACCATAAAGGCAACTATTTCTTGTTTTCTGTCTTTCCAAAACTTCCCTGGGCCTGGGATAAGTGCCCAAGAACGTGTTTTAATCGACACCTTTGGGAATCCAGCAGTGAGATAATTACTTCCCTTTTACCTTCTGGTGTAGAATGCATAGGAGGTGCTTGGTACTGCCTGGACCCAAGACAATAGGCCAAAGTTAGTTCCTTGTTCTATTATTAGTGATGGGCAGAGTAGAGGTTCTCATGAGGGCTAGGTGCAAGAGGTAGTGGGACTGGGGAAAATTGTTTAGGGTGCTGATCTTCAGTTCCTTTAACCTCAAAAATGGGATGCTAGGGTCCAGGCGTGGTGACACATGCCTATAATCCCAGTGATTTGGGAGGTTGAAGCAGGAGACTTGCAAGTTCCAGGCCAATCTGGGCAACCTATTAATACCCTGTCTCAAAACAAAAAGGTCTGGTGGTGTAGCTCAGTGGTGGAGTGCTTGCCTAGCATATGGGAGGCTCTGGGTTCACTCTCCTCTTGCACACACAAAAAGGATGGCAATTCCCATCCTAGCAACCTCAAAGGAGGGCTGTGATAACCAGGTGAGATACTTTATTGAGGAAGAGCTGGGACAACTAAGATCCATATAAAGCATGATTAAATTTGCACCGCCATGCTTGCACCTGGACTGGGGAAGGACAGCAGTGACTGTTAGAGTCTGTAAACAAGTCAAAAATAACACCTGGCATTTTGCCAGGGGAATGTTAGAGTTCATAAACAAGTCTGGATGGTGCCTGGCAAAATGCCAGAGGGAGTGGTTTGAGAAGTAACAAAAGCGAGCCATTAAGTGTGGAGATTCCTTATTGGTTGACTGATGTATCTAGTTTATGCTAATTAGATAAGCTGTGTGGAATGTATAAATACTGCTCCTGTCCTGCAATAAACGGCTCCCACTCCTGCTGTATCAACGTACACAAGTTATTCGTCACCCCCTGGTTATTTTGCTGCAGCAGCCGGACTGCGGCAAGTGACTATTCTGATGGCTCCACCTGGACATGAGCTCTGCTTGTCCTGCCTTTGAGAGGTGAAGGTGTGGAGGTGTTTTGAAAGCTGTAAAGCCCTGTAGAAGGAAGCCTTGTATTATGAGTTGGTGGGATGGGGATGGGGAGCTTCGTCAAACTGATAAGGAGCTTGCTTGTTTTGTTTTTTAATTGTAGATGGACACAATATTATTTCATTTATTTTTATGTGGTACTGAGAATCGAACCCTGTGCCTCACATGTGCTAGGCAAGTGATCTACCACTGAGCCCCAACCTCAGCCTCCAGGAGCTTGGCTTTAAGAGAATGTGGGAGAAATAACTGGCGAGGGAGACCTGCATTCAGGCAGGTTCTAGTAATTGCTCCTTGTCACATCCACGTAGCTGCTTGAAAAGAAGAAACTTAGATGGGAGTAACAGAAACTGCCGTGGCGGGTATCTTCATTAACCATCAGATCTAAGCTGGAGGACTGGGAGGAGCCTTGAAGGGGCCTGGGGGAGCTTTCCTGCTCCTCAGAGTTCTCAAAGGCAAAATCGCTTCCTCAAGGGCCTGTGTGCTAAGTCACCATAAAGGAAGGAACGAGGAGCTCCTTGGTAGCTTTTGGTGCTTGATCTGAAGGCACTCAGGGCCCTGCGCCTCCCGCTCTCCTCCTGTGTTTGTATCGCAGCAGGTGATTTCCCCAGAAACCAAGGCTCTGGATGGTGAGAACGGGGCCAGGAGGAACTTGTTCTAGAAGTACTCGCAATGTCTTTGGCACTTTGCTCTGCGTGTCCTCACTTTGTGCCCTTTCTTTGTACAGAGAGCTGCCTGTGAGTCATGTATTTGGATGCTAAGGACTGGGAGTTTGTGCATTTTTTGCCAAATAACCAGAAAACCGGCAGACTCAGCCTTGAGGCCTCTGATTGTGTCCAATATTCCGTTATCCTGGGTCTGGGGACTGTCAGCCTTCTTTTCTCATGAAGGAGAGGGGCAAAGGGAGAAATGAGAATTCTTAAACTCCTTTGACCTAAGGGTTAGGAGGCTTCTCAGCCAGGCGCCAGGCCTTACCCTGCCCTCTAGGGGCCCCATAGCCCACTGCCCTTCCAAACAGCCTGCAAGAAAGCCATCTCTGCGCTTACCTTGGACTTCTGTGCCTTTGAAAGAAAATAAAAGAGGCTGAGGCAGGAAGACCGCAAATTCAAGGCCAGTCTCAGTAACTTAGTGAGACCCTCAGCAACTTAGTGACTTAGTAGTACCCTGTCTCAAAAATTAAAAAGGACTGGGATATAGTCAGTGGTAAAGCATCCCCAGATTTAGTCCCCAATATCAAAACAAAACAACAAAAAAGAAAAAAGAAAGAATAAGAACTGGGGGTGCAGCTCAGAGTAGAGACAACCCCGGTTCAGTCTTCAGTATTGCAAAAAAGAAAGAACCCTGAGGCCTGGACACTGAGTCCCTTCTCTAAAATGAGTGGTTTGGGAAGTTTCCAGGCTTTTGATTTCTGCAGGATGAATTCTGCAGTGCCTCTTCTGGGATCCTTTCTTCCCTAAAGAACCAAGAATGAGCTAGTGTTTTGAAGATAAATATAGAAAGCTAAGCATGAATGGTGACTAGATGTTTAAGTGTCTGTTTCCTTCAGAGCAGCGAGAGCTGCCCCTGGCAGGGATGGAGGCATCTGTCCCTTCCCTGGGTTAGCAGGGGGGTCTCTGAGAGGAAGATGCTTACAGTCTCAGTCTGCAGAGCGCTTTCTTCTGGAGGAAGGAACTGCCAAACGTGAAGGCAGCAGGAGGCACCAGAACAAGTGACGAAGTCCAGGAGTGTTAGCACTTCTAGTTCTGGCCATTCCCAGCCCAGGAGGCTGAGAGGGAGGATGGGAGGATCGTTTCAGTCCAGGTGTTGGGGTCCAGCCTGGGCAGCACAGAGAGGCCTGTCTGAAAAACTAAAAAAAAAAAAAAAAAAAGAAAAAGAAAGAAAGAAAGAAAAAGAAACAAAGACACCACCAAGGCTTTGGAGTGTTTGCTGAGCAGAGGAAGGTTTGACCTCAGGAAAGCCTGATGAGGAAGGTGTTGTCATTTCCATCACTCCCACTGAACTAATGCTGAAAGTGAGGCAAGGACGTTGTGCAGTGTGCGATGTCACCTGATTCAGCTCAGGCCTGATGGCCTCAGAGTCCATGTGTTCACTGTACCCTGGATACCAGCCATC